TGTGCTAGGACTTCTGTGAGGATCAAATGAAATGAGGCATGTGAAAAAGCTTCACAAACATTTGGTTAAAGTGTAAAATGTTTGCACCTGTCTATAAAGCAAGTTGGGTTCCTCAGCTGAAGAAACTCCAAGGAGGCTAGTTGCTAGGAAGAAGCTGGGCGCTGCTATGTGACATCATTACCCAGCACCCACAGTGACCGCTTCTGGGCTCGGCTGTGGGCTGCATTTTGCACCATGGGGTCTTGGCAGCGTTGGCTGCAATTTGGTGGGGTGTTGCTCTGGGTTAGTGGTGGGGCCAGTGTCTCTCTTGGGGGAAGCCAAGTGTTGGTTTGTCGGTGCCACGGCGTTTGTTTTTCAATGGCCAGTGGGCATCATGGAAGCTTTTGTGTGGAGTGTCTGACCCCTGGTGGCCAGTGTGCATCATAGCTACCAGTCAGACAGATGGACACTTAGCCTTTTATATGTATAGATTAGTGATGTAATTACATTAATATGAGTATATAATTACTGTAAAACTGAATTCACTTGAATAAACATAGAAATGAATACAGGTGTTTAGGGAAATAGTGTAGTCCATATGTTTCAGAGAGGTTATGTGAGTGGGCTTCATAGCTGACTGGCCAGTTTAAGACTGCATTGCCCCATCCTAGCCAGGAGACAATAGGCAATAAACTTCTCAGCTTTGGTTTCCTCACGGATAAAATGGGGACAATTTCACCTACTCCTGTCTTTCCCACAATCTTTTGACCATGATCCACAGTAACATACAATTTACATTGCAACTTAGTGTAAGCACAAAAATATATTTAACTGTTAAAAAGTTCCAAGAAGCATTCCTTGCTCATCCTCACTAATCTGACGTGCAGACTGATACTTTCTTTTCTTGTTTCTTCATTTTAATTTAATGATCTCATGACCAACCTGCAATTTAAATATATTTTTATTGATATCAGGTTAGTGAGAGGGAGAGAGAGACAGAAACATAAATGATGAGAGAATCATTGATCAGCAGCCTCCTGCATGCTCCACACTGGGGATGGAGCTCACAACTTGGGCATTTACCCTGACCGGGAATCTAACCATGATCTCCTAGTTTATAGGTCAATGCTCAACCACTGAGCCGTGCCAGCAGGGCCCAACCTGCAATTGAAAGAATGCTGACCTACCTCAT